TGCAGTCCGGATGGGAGGTCCCGGATTGGGTCGCTATCGGCCGGAATGCGTAGTAGGTGGGGGTATATTTTAGTAAGGAACAAGGATGGGGTGGGGGGGGGTGGGGGGGAGTGGGTGGGCGGGGTGGGTGGGGGTGGGGGGGGGGGCGGGAGGGGGGGGCGCGGTGCGCTGTCTCTTCAAAGCGAGGACCCAACGCAGGATGGCTGGGAAAATATGGGCGCGCAGTACAAGGCAGAGCCACGCCACCATAACTTACCTGCCAGTCACCAACCAGCTATACTTCGACATGAGCAAGCAGCGACTAGAAGCCGCGTTTCAAACGTGGACCACCCTTTCATCGTGCGCAAGCATCTACAGCAGCTGGGCAGAAAGGCCAGAAAATATCCCAATCTACAGGCGGGCCGACTACAGCCGCGATGGGCAACCCTTCGCGCCCCGCGACGCAGCCGACCACGACGTCCGACGCCGCGGGGTCGTCGACATGACCTGTGACAGAATTAACGGCGACATCGACCGCAACGGGGTGCGACTGCGACGCCCACGCTGCCGCCGCCACGGCGCAGAAAACGAACTGAAGGACACATTGGCCAACATCTGTTGTCAGCAATAAGAAAATGTTGCGATTTACAAATCGATGAGAACAGCGTCCCGCGCCAAAATCACTACCAGCATCGAGGCCGCGCTCCTTGGCTCCATGCCAATTTCATAACGCAACTGCGTCGCTAGATCCGAGCTGCCCTCGCCCACCAGCATATTAGCAGACGCTCTACATGCACCTGGACAGCTACGCGCCACTCGCATTGGGCCACGTGCGTTGCGGACAAGTCGCATCGACGGGGCGCATCGTGCCACTCTCCGCATACGAGCAGCCCAACTGCGTGGATCTACAGGGCGCCAGCGATTACAACATTGCATTGCTGAGTTTCTGGGCGGGCTCAGTTTTCGCAAATGCCACCACGACACCCTCGCCCACCTCCCACGCGCTCCGACCTCCTTGCGCCAACGCCAGAACTCCACGTGGCCACGGATGACTGGAGGTCTTTCACCAAGACCGATCACTCAAGTGCAACCCAACTCGCGCATGCAACCATCGGCTTGCAACGCCAACGCCATCAAGTCTACGCCGGCCATGTATATATATATATACATACCACACCCAAAGCCACGCAGTTCACAGTCAGGCCACCTAAGCATCTCAGGACCGACGACTTTCTCATAACTCCTACCGACATTGGACCAGACCACCCATGCTACGAATTGGTACAGCGAGAGCTCGAACTGCAACGCATGTCAGACAACACACAGTCCGATCACGACGATCGACTCCGCAGGCTGTGCACAGGCCACCGACTACAACTATCACCGCAGCAACGCATGGCACGCATCGGCTTCAGACCTGGACGAGGCCACCAGCAAGCAAGGGTACCACCGCCACCAAGCCATGCACCTGCGCATCCACTTGCAGCCAAGGGGCCCACGCCTGCCCGCGCTGGTAGCACCACCTACTCTACCAGGCCCACTTGCTTCTCGCCGCCCTCGGGGCCATGCCATTGACGCAGCAATTCAGACCCCGGTGGCCGATGCTTCAGACTTCGGCATCGACGCCGGCAAGAGTGGGGGCTGCGGGGATCCGACCGACAAATGCGACCTCACTTCGCAACCAACTCGTTACAGGCGCGACAAGCATTGCCCCGACGGGTGGGCGGCATACAGCGCCAAGGACATCGAGGGCGACGGCTGCGAGGACGACAGATGGCCCTAGGCCATCTACCACCGCGAACAATCCAACGCATGCGGCTACCGTGTTCCCCGCGACTTCCTCCTCTTACCAGGCTGGCGCCGATGCTTGGGAAAATGCAACCGCGAGATGTTCCTCCGCAAGAACCTACGGCACTGCCTACCGTGCCCGCCGTTCGGCCAAATCTTCAGGCGCCTCCATTATCGACCTGCAAGCTGCCGCCGACAGAGCCAAACCAATATTTACGCCCCAGAACGCCGTGCCATCAGACAACCATCGCCACCTGGCAAACCCAAGCGAAGAGAACATGCGCAGCTCCGATTCGGAAGCTACCTGGCAGCCTTCGCAAATCACTACCATGAGGGCTCCAGGCAGCAGTAACTATTGCTAACATATACTTCATCACGCTGGTCTCAGATCCTACAGCGAAGCTGACCGACCGAACCACGCAAACACTACTGGCCGTTTCTCAATGGCTCGCCTCCTGCCACAACTACGACGACATCAGGGGGCGCGACTGGGCCAGTGCGCATGCATGACATAGCAAAGTTATTGCAACAACATTGAAACCCGACTTCGGAACGCACCGCGGGCCCCGCAAACATACGCGCGCCGGTCAGCGCGAGCTGTGGCGACGAAGACCACGAATCTACGGAGCCAAGTTCCATTCAGTATTGACACGATATGCACTCGAACGCTTCCACATCCACGCTAGCGCCAGCGACGACGACGCAACGGCCGCAAGGCCGCGCGCCAACTTCTTACAACCACACAGACGTGACCGACGCGGCACTTCCACGCGCACCAACAGCCAACGCCGATACAAGGCAGCCACCACTCGCGCGCATCATCATACGACCTATGCACCCACCGCCACCCGACCTCAAGAGTCCAATCGTCTTCCCGCCACCTGAGGGCGCGAGAACACAGCTGTGGCTTCGCGGTAAGCCAGCGGCAAATCTGGCTCCACAAACACATCCCACGAGAAAGGTGCAGTTCCCACCCGAGGCGCCGCCAAGTACGCGATGCAGCAAGACAGTGGTCACGCCGCAGGTCAATACAGACCACCTGGGACGCGCATTCGTCCACTGCCACAACGACCCGCGCTTCCTGGACGACGTGGCCACAGTTCGGCGACATCAGGCTCGCTGCCAACGGCGCCTCGCTGAAGTGTGCCGACGCAATTTTCAGCGCCTGGGATCTGTGCATCAACGAGCAGTTCGTATAGCGCAGGCGCCGCTGGTCTTCACGGCACCGCCCGCGCCTAAGCCGAACCAGTCTCCGACTGCAAGATGAACGAACCAGTACTACGTCTACAGTGACTACGCAGATTAGTACGGTGGTATATCACAACTCCCACGACGGCCACCACATCTTCTTCGATTGCCGCAGAAGTCTAACTACTGACTCCTTTCACTCCTCATACCTTTTTCCATGCTATACCTGGCCTCCTCCTGCTATCACAATGTCTCCCATCTCCTCCGTGCATTTCCTTTCTCGCGACAAGGGCACCCGTCGCCCTGCCAGCTCATGACTAAGGTTGTTGTGGCACGTCCCCCCCCAAGCGGCCGTGCCCAACCGATTGCTGAGGACAGCGGATGTCCCGTGCATCCGCTTGCGGATGCATTGGGCATATATTTTCTTTTTTCTCGGTGGTCTACCTCACCTGCCGCCCCGCCTCTCCCGTCGTTGCTGCTTGCTTCTGAGCCCGAAAGGTGCGCCTTCCCATTCTTTGCCGCGCGTCACCAGGTCAGATAATTATTCTCGGCTTTATTGTTATCTTCTCTTTAACTTGCATTGCCTATTCGCCATCTTACATCTCGCGCCCAGGTGCCACTACCCTGGGCTGCAACCCGAGAGCTGCCGCACTTGCTTCCCCCTCTTTTGATCATACCTCTGACCCGTCACAGACTAACACGATTTGATCGCTCGCTTCCTGTGGGAAGCCTGCACAGTGCCAGGCCAGCCTACACAGTACTGGTCTTCTGCACGCAATCATAACACGCCTATTTTACACCTGCCGCCTTGTAGTTATCACGCTGTTCCTCCCCCTTCCGGATCGCGAGTGTTGCATGGCTTACATTTTTACGCTATCTTTGCGCCATAGTACTGCGTCCATCTCTTACGCATTCAAGTTGCCTCTCGCTCGTTCCCCTGTGATTTAAATCTGCTCGCCTGGACCAAATCAAGAATTTTGGGAGTATTTATTATTTGGGTGGATGTATGGGTCGGGAATCAAAGCAACTACAGGCTGCAACGTACATTCAGAGTCGCCTGTATTCATATTTCTACTGTTGTACGCGTGTTTCTCTCCTCTATCCGATCATCTTTGGTCGACATCCCCCACTTACAATCACCATGTTGCCCGTTCGTTACTTCAGCAGGCCAGCCATCTTTGTGCCAGCCTCTAGCATGCCTGCGAGGCACGCACGCACGCTGCCATTCACTCTGCCTGCATCCAGATTTTTATCATCGGGACTAGGATTCGGGTTGCTTGTATTTCGTCGATGTTTTGGGGAGTTTGAGTGTACCCATCTATTTCCAGGTCCACAGCTGCCCAATCCACATGGGACGACCACCCATGGAAGCTACGTTACAACAGGCGGGCCAGCTTCTCTCAGCGCATTACTATGCACGCGTATATCGGTTCCTTGTGTTCGGCCTTTCCTATTCGGTTCGTTTTGTCAGATATTTGTTATGTGTTGATAGTCTCATTTCCTCCACATCGGCGGTCGGCATCGTTACGCTGGCCCTTGGGCAGTGTGCTGCCGCTTTAACTTTAAACATTTCTTGATCCGCACGGGCCTGCCGCCTAATTTGCTTACACCGTTGCGCTAAGTCGGTGCTTGCTTTTTGGCATCCGTTGCCACCAAAACGCTGCAAGTTTCGCTAATAGTATGGCCAACGTCACAGAGGAGGAGGAGGAGGAGGAGGAGGAGGAGGAGGAGGAGGAGGAGGAGGAGGAAGGAGGAGGAGGAGGAGGAGGAGGAGGAGGAGGGGGAGGAGCAGGAGACGAGGATGGGGAGGAGGAAGAGGAGGACGAGGAGGAAAAGGGGGAGGAGGGGGAGGAGGTCTGCCCCAAGATTTCTCACGGCACGGTCTCTTGTGGCGTGCGCCTGCTTCGCCGCCGTGCCCGCTGGCTGGTGCTGGGCCTTGGGGGGAGTGGGGGGCGGGCTGCCCTTGGGCAGGCGCGCCCCCCAGACGTCGGTGCGATCGACATGGGGGCGCACATATTTGTCAGCCGCGCGCAGGGGGGGGTAACAGGGAGGGTGGAGGGCTTCTTCGAAGCACCCACACTTATGAGAGGGTGCGGGCCTGATCTATCGGTGCAGGGCCGCCGCTTTCGTGTTTTCTCGTGCGCGCTTCCACTTGCGTGGTGGCGAAGGCCGGCAGCAGCTGCTGCCCACTTTGAGCACGGCTCGCTGTCGGTGTCGCCGCGGACGTTGTCCTTTCGGGGCAAAAAGCTGCCTGCCCAATAGCGGCCGCTGTCGATTCTGGACGGCGTTTGCTGTTGAGCCGCGTACTGTTTCTACGTGCCCGTGACGGTCGTACCAAAGCCGGCAGCGCAGCAGAGGTCTCCTTGGCGGAGGTCTAACGGTCAGAGCTCACTAAGTCTCACTTGCAGGCGCAGCCGCGCGGGCTCTGAGCGCACCCATTTGGGTGGCGCGGGGTTTCCCGGCCCGTCGGCGATTTTCGGCAGAACGGCGTCTTGCAGGATTTGACGCTTCCGCGGGCTCGTGCAGGTAAAAGGTACGATGCAGGTACAAGGGCTTCCCCAACAGAAACAGACCACCTAACAAGCCCGTCGAGAGCTCACCGGAACCTCTCAAGAGTGTCCTCCTTCTCCTGCTCTTTCTCCCTCCTCCATCACGCGCGGTATGACCAGAAACCGCAGTTAAATTCGAGCGCGGTCTAACTAGACTGGGACCTCTCCTTGAGCGCGGCCTGACCAGAACTTGGAGGCAGATCCAGCCGCGGTGGCGAGGGCGCCCCAGGAGGACTGAACAAAACAAACGAAATTCAAGAAGAAAATACCGATCTTCGATCGTCTTCATCATCCTCGTCGGTCTCATCCTCCTCCTTCTCCTCCTCCTCCTCCGTCTCCTCCTCCTCTTCCTCCTCCCCGTTCGTCGGCTCGCTCTCTGCTCCCTGGAGGCCGCAGCGAAGGAAGCGGAGGAGTCCTTCTAACAGTGGTAGGAGCGGGGGCCGACCCGAGCCCATGCAGTGATTGTGCTGCTGATGCCACTCCTCGTCCTGCCTCCCCTCCTCCCCAGATCTCCGTGGTTTCAAAGTGCTCGCAGAAAGGCGGCACCAATATTCGGAGGACGACGACGAGGACACGACCACAAAGGGTGAAACGAACGACGAGGCGACGGTGGAGAGGAAATGAGCGCAGGTCAGCGTGCTGGGCTCCCGCGTCCGTGCGCCAGCATCTCTGCCTGCGCTCGGCTGGAGAAACAGTAATATTATTGTTAGTATTACAGTAGTATTACATCTAGTAGTCATATTAAGCAGTAGTCTTAATATTAAACTTACTAGTCGTATTCAAATGAATAGCACTATCAAGGGATGCATATGCATAGCAGTGATACGAGTATTCGGAGCAAGAGTAGCAATAACAACGCGCGGCATGGAGGCGCACAGCTTATACGGTTGCTACGTTATGCCGCGTGGTTGAGGCGTGGCAAGGGCGGCACGTTATATTGAGTGAACTCATTTGAGATCATGAATATGAAAGCGGGCGATCAGCACAATCAAAGTTTTTTCAAGCAGCAGCCAGCCGATGCTGGGATAAGTATCTCGACTGGCACTGGAAGGGGCCAGGTAGGCCCCACCAGGCCGAGAACAGAGAGAAAGAGGGAGGGGGGAAGGGGGGGAAAAGGGGAGCGAGGGTAACGACGGGGGGCGGGGAGGAGGACAGCACCGTGCAGCATTGACACCGATGGGCCCCATTTGCCCGCGTCGGATCGAGGACCGAATCTTATGTGTTCGCATGCTGATGTTGGTCTCTTGGCACCCCCCTCGATGGCATGGCTGGATCCTTGTCGTTCTCTTCATGAGGCTCCGTAGGACAGGGCCATGGCCCTTATCGAACACGCCTACGGCAAATCGCCCCCGCCCCCCCGCCTTTCAGGATGCGCCTGTGTGGGCGAAGCGTTTGAGCAAAGCTTGGGCGCGCTGCTGGACCGAGCGCTCCCCCGGCCGTTAGCGGAAACCCTTCGGAGAGCACGTGGGGAAGGAAGAGGAGGATGAAGAGAAGGACGAAAAAGGAGGAGGAGGAGTAGGAGAAGGAGGAAGAGGAGGAGGAGGAGGTGGAGAAGGAGGAGGAGGAGGCCTCCTGTCCGTAGCCATTTTGGCTCTAGCCGGTGTTCCCCGCTTTCTCCGCAGCCCTTTCGCCCATGGTCGGCGGCTCGGCGGCGGCGGCGGCGATCACGCCTTGGATTGCTGCGGGGGGCTGCCCGAGTGCGTGGCGGCCCAGCGCATTGCGTGCCGCCGACATCGTCGTCCTCGGCCCGTCGGCGGCTCGCCGCGCTGCTCGTCGTCGCCTTCGGGAAGCTCTGGATGCTGCTCTGCGCGCCCGTGCTTGTGTCGGCGAGCCAGGCTCCTGGCAAGACAGGGGGCTGGCGGCGAGGCCCGCGCTGAAGCTCCTGTCGGCCGGCGCGGCAGTGCCAGGAGCCGCGCGCAGGAGGCGAAATGCGGCTTGGCACGCGGCTCTCGCGCCAGCAGGTGGCTTCGCTGCAGCCGCGGGCGACTGGATCGCTTGGGCAGCAGCTGGTCCACGCCTTGGCGCCAGCGCTGCTGCCCCAGGGCCTTGTCGCAGTGCGGCTCTGCGTGCCGACGCCGATCTCTTCGAGCCGCAGGTGGCGCTGGCTCCTGGCACCTGGGAGGTCCCGCTCGGGGACCCAGCCGTGCAGGCCAAGGCCTTCGGGGATGGCCTGGAGGCGGGCTTGCGCTTGCGGCCTCGCTCCCCGTGCAGGGCACTGCCGTAAACCAGGAGATTGAGGAGCAGCAGTTCGGCGTGCTCGCGAGCGCGGCGCCCGTCGTGGAGCACGTGACCGACATGCAGGACGACTCCGAGATCTTCGAGCTCTCGGGCGCGGAGGTTTCGGGGGTGGAGAGCGTGCTGGTCGGTGTCTCTGCTGCTGGCGACGGTGCTGCCCCTCCTGGGCCCCAGACGGCCTCTGCTTCAATCTCGCAATCTCTCATAGCCGCTAGGGGAGTGTATTCGCAGGGGCATGCGGCCGTGTCGCATGTGCAGGAGGGCCTGCCCATGGCGCAGTGGGGCCGCTGGGTGCCGTCTCAGCTGCCACCCGATCCTGGAAAAGGCCGCCTGTTCGACCCCTGCGACGACAGCGAGCTCAGCCCAAGTTCTCGGAGAGATCATTTCGGATTTGGATCATTTGGCGGCTTCTACTCCGACTCCGACGCCTCCGAGATCTTCGAGGTTTGAGTGCCTGATTTTCATGCCGTACTTCCTTATTTGTGGTATTCAGTGTGTGGTGCCAGGCCTCTATTCTCGGTGTTCCTTCCTTGGTCTGGGCCTGCGTTCCAGACCAGACCAGGCCTCTATTCGAACGAGAAAAAGTGAGTGTGAGATATTGGGGGTTAAGCTCGTGACGAACCCGAAGGATTTTCATGGAGTGCGGCACCGCATTGATGCGGGCAGGCGGTGTTTCTCTGCTGTTATTCAGTTTTAACGATCACGGGTGGTGAGCATGAGGGAGAAATTCAGACGGTACCAGAACAGAGTTCAACAGATTGCATGGCACGGATGTGTGGGATGGAAATGCTGTGAACATGTACTTAACATATTGCGAAGTTTCGAAGGGAGATGTCTGAACATGGTGCGGGGGTTGCACAAAAAAGAGGCGGGAACGTTGGAGGAATTCAGGGATCGTAGTACCAACAGGTCCAGGGAGATGTTCAAATAAGGGGGATTCAAAACACTGGTGGAGAAAGTTGTGAGGTATAACTTTGAATATGCTGTTGAAGCTTCCCAATATAAGTGTCACGTGCCTTCCACGGTGTATAGTAAATCATGGCAACAGACACTGCGTTCGATGTTACATGTGTCGGGGGAGTGGACGGTGCAGGGGGGTGCAGCACTGGCGGCAGCGAGCCAGACGGTATCCATGGAGGGGCGGAGACGGCTCCGAGGCAGACCGCGGATCGTGGCAGGGAGCTGGCATGCGCCGTTTGAAACATGGAGGTCCCTCCTGTGGTACGACACTTGTGTTGTTCAGACGGCTTGGGAGGAGCTTGTCGGACACATCTCACATATGCCCAAAATGCAAGATATGTTTGTGCGGAGGGATAAGGAGGTGAGGATTGGGGGGTTTGCGAAGACACCGACTAATGATGAGTTGGCCCGACGTCTTGCAACTATACACGAACAAGCTACGATATGGGACCCTGGGATGGAGGGGATTGCTAGTAAAATGTGTGATGACAGTAGGACGGTTGTACAATGGCTGAGGGGAGTCTGGGCGTGTGACAACAGCGGGTATGCCAAACGGATTGCCAGGATTCAAAATATTATGTATGACATGGGTGAATAGCACAATGCACGATGCCCTACCCACGGAAAGGATTTCTGGAAACATATCTATAGAGAAGCCAATGCCTACGCGGATGAGCTCACACACCATGCGAGAGAAGGAAATTGTTACATAGTTTACAAGCATGATTATATCAAACAGGACAAGACAAACATCAAATACATCAGAGGATGCTGGGATGGTGGTGTGAGTAGTGAGGGTGCTGCAGGAGGCCACTGGATTGAAGTTGCTCCAGAGAATGGCCCGTTGACACTCGTGTGCTCAGAAGCCTACATGTTTGATGTGGGCTCCACCGTGACGGAGGCAGAGTTGTCTGCTGCCGAGCGCTAGTGTACAGGTGTGGAGCATGTGGTTAAATAATTTTCTTCTGCAAGGTGGAGGAGGCGGATTTAACTGGCTCTAGCCCCTAGGCTTGGGCGCTCGCGCCCTGTGTAGCCTGACCAATCACCAATCACTTAAGGCCTTCCTCTTCCTGCTCGCCCTCCTGAGGGTAATGAGGTTGATGAGGGGATGTGGTGCGTGTATGTGTGTATGTGTGTGTATCCTAAATACCGTATGCTTTTAGCCTAGGTGGGGCAATGATGCTCATGGGCTTCGCCCAGTGGAGTGTGTAGTATGCGCGTGTATCATGGGTGCCGTATGCTTGTGGGCTAGGTGCCGAATGGCGCGGTTAGACTTTAAAGTCGAGGTAGAAGAGATCAACCCCCACAATATGATTGAAACGAAACGTCCTAGGCAACGAAATTCGACGATGGGCCCCCGATTCCGAGCGTTCCGCATTTTCCGAACAGACGAAGTGCTGTCGCACCCATCTCACCAGGTGCTGCTTGGCCCCGCCGGCCCGGAAGACCCGGAGAAACTTGCGATTGTCGGGGTGGCCCATGTTACAATGCAACTTGTATATCAACCGTTTTTCGTCCTCTGTGGGCCCGGGATCGGGCTTCCCGGCCTCGCTGCCCCTCGTCCTATTCTGCTGGGCCAGTCGGGTCTCTGGCTCTCGTCCTCGCTCTCGTCCGAGCCTCCGGGCTCATCCGGGCCGCCGGCTGCTTCCTCTGCCTCCGCAGCTCCGTCGGAGACTCCTTCCGCCAGCTCCGCCCGGGAGGATTGCTTAGCTCTGGAGGCTCCGGACCAGTGCTCGGCGACAGCCCTGGCCACGTGCGCACGAACAGGGGGGGGGTAGCGTCCCGCCTTAGTGGTGACCGAACCCCCTTCCAAAACAGCATGCTCGTGTCCACCCGCACAGAGGTGGCCGTCTCAAAGCCGTAACGCCTGTGGGTGGTTGGACAAAATCCCCGTGGGCCTTTTGTTGAGGCCTCGGTCGTCCACCTGCGTTCCAAACTGGCACATGTCGAGCCGGGCCCGCCGAACACCAGGCAAATCCCACGCGCGCACTTCACCGCGCGCGTTCCCCAGGAGGAAGCGTAGAGAGGGTGCTCGAAGGCAAAGAATCGACCGTGCCTTACTTGATGCTCGGCTATCTTCATGCAGAGGATGAGATCCCGAAGGCCATCTCGCATTCGTAACCTCCAGTCCTCTGGATCCATCCGATCTCGATTAAGTCGATTGATCGCTGAAAAGGCCCGACATTCGGAACACAACCAGATCATCTCGGGTCGATCGGTCCTGATCGTCTTCCAGAGAAAAGCTACATCTGACTTTCGAGCTGCGTCCCAGCCGACCTTGAGGTCCCAGGAGGGCTCCATTCCCACTGGGGCCCCACTCTTCTCGACGGCAGGAGCGATCCTGGGAGGGGAAAACACATCCATGAACGCCACCTTGGATCGTCCCGAGGTATCCGACGCACCGAAGGAGAAGGTCTCCGGGAGGGCTCCGGTTGCCCTGGCAGCTGCGTCGCCGAGAGCTTTCCTCACCTGGGGACCTCGTGGTCGTCATTCATCCAATCTCCGTCGAGCCCCTCGGGCCCGATCGGAAACTTCTGCACTGAGGGAGGAGGGGGAGGAGTTGTCGGGGGGCTCTCTGGGGAGCCTTTGTCAGAAGCAACAGTGCACGCACAGGCTGAGCGGCTGCACATCGAGCGCTGCCGCTGCCCTGGAGCCGCTCGGCTCGGGCCAGCGGCTGGAGCGCTGGGAGGGACGTCCGAGAGTCCCTCTACGTCTCGTCGTCCTTGTCGCTCTCGTAGAGGATCTCCCAGGATGGCGTCGTCGCCGTCGTCGATATCGGCGGTCCGCCCTCGGGCTCCTGCGAGGAAGCACCCGCCTGCGAGCTGTCCTGCTCCTGCGACGGGGCGCCCTGGTTCGATCCAGCGGCGTTGGCCACCTGCGCGAGCCCCATCACCGCCGTCCCGATATCCACCATCATGTGAGCTAGCTGGCCCACCGACTGCTCGATGTCGCCGACCGACACCGACAGGGTGCTCATCTGCTCCGTCAGGTAGTCGAGGGACTCCCCCTATCGGCTCCAGCGCCTCCAGGGTACGACGGAGTCGCATGAGAGCCTGATGGATCTGCTGCAGGCCCTCCTCCAGTTGGCCGCTGGTCTGGAACTGAGCTTGACTGGCGTACTGCGCTATCTGCTCGACCACCTCCTGCATTTTTCCGAGGGACCGAATTCCCTCGGGGATCTGGTGCAACTGCCACTGCAGAGCATTGAGGTAGCCGTTCCGGTCGTTCACGGTCTGCAGGGCGGCCGTCCCAGTCTGGAACACAGGATTCTCCTGCATGATCTGCACCGTCCGCTCGGCTGCGATCGCTGCCCGCCTGGCAGCCTCCGCGGCTGACTCTGGCCTCGCTGCCGGTCCGCCGTCCTGCTCGCCACCGCTGCCGCGTTGTGCCCAAGTGAGCTTGTAGCCGCAGAAATTGCACTTCGTGCCAGAGCCGTACTGGTTGCCGTACGCCGTGGCCTGCGAATGGTTGCAGTTGTTCACCAGCTTGGGAGGGGGCGGCATGACTGGAATCGATCTCTGCTTCAGCGGTGCTGCAGCTCGCATGGCTGGGATGGCTGCTGCTGCCGCTGCTGCTGTGATCGGAGCTGCCGCTGCTGCCGCAGCCGTCGGCTCCCCGTCGTCGCTCTGGTTCGTGACCAGCTGCATCGAGGCCTGGTCCTCGTCGCGGCTGCGAGGGATCCCTGGCGTCGCTCCCGGGTTCCCAGCACTCGGAATCCTTCCATGGCCCAGCAGCCGTGCCGATCTGGCCTTCGGCGGCCCTGGAAACTGCATCTGTGGTCCTGCTGACCATGGCATCGGCGTCGCTGCTGGCTGGGCGCTCGAGGCTGCTGCCGGGTTCGGCCCAGGTGGAGGACTCGACGGCGGAGGTGGATCAGGATGGGCGTCCCGTCCGTCAGGTAGCCGGCCACCCCTCCGCCTGGAACCCCATCGGGCCCGGCGGCCGCCACTGCCTGCGCCCAGGTCATCAGCTGGGCGGGCAGCTGACTGGGCATTTTGGGGTGGGGAGGCGGCCCGCTCGGGGTAGTGGTGGCCTCCGCAGGTGCCTCCAACGGCGTCTCGATCGCCCGGCTCAGAGTCGCCCTGGCTGCTTCTTCTCGACCGTCGCTGTCGTCGCCCTTGCTGTTGCCTCCGCCGGGCGGCTGAGGAGTGGACCCGCGGAACTGGGGAGCTCCTTGTGCCTGGGGGATCCCCTTCAGGATGCACACGGAAATCGCTATGAACTTCATCGCTGCGCCAGACGATGCCGACAGGAGGCTGTGAGCCTGGGCTCGGGCGTCGATGCCGAGAAAGACGTGGATGAAAGCGCGAGCCAAAAGCAACCGCGGAAAGTAAACGCACGAGAGCCCTCGGGCCCCTGCTGCCGATGAGGTCGAGAGCTCCTTTGCTGATGAGGTCGAGGGCTCTGTCCCGCCCTTCGTTGCTGTCGTCCAAGACCTTAGCATGCCCCAAAGATCCTGAGCCCGTGACCTGTTCAAGGCGGGCCCGCTGAGCCCAACGCCCGAGGAATAGGCAGGCCATGGCCGCGAATATTGAGACGACCGGGTAGCCCACGTGTGTTGTTTCCCCCAGATCCCCGCCCGAAGTTCTGCTCGAAACCTCCCTTGGCCTGGAACCAGAACGACTTGACCTAGACCCCGAACGTCTCGACTTATCTCTAAACCAGAGGATGGAGGTGAGGAGGTGAGGCATGTACTTCGTCACAGTCCCATCCGCCAGCATCTTCGGATGTCTCTCATTGCCAAGGGTGAATGACTCCTCCGTCAGAAAAGGGTAGCGCTGAAGCGCCGACGCTGGGACAGCCGCCGGCTCTTCGAGGGAGCGCGCGATCTCTACCACCCTGTGCCCGGAACCCAGGCGTGTCATGGCCACGGTCGTGCGCAGCGTGCCGGAACGAAGCTTGTTCCTCGGCAAATCGATCGCGCTCTCTAGAAAGTCCAGAATATTAACGCTCAAGATGCGAGGAACAGCCTCTCCAAGCCCAGTGGTGTCTATGATGCCGAAGACACCGCCTAGACATAACGGAAAATAACGGCACTCACAACCTTGGCCTGGCCTCCGACTCCGTGGGCCCCACGGAGATGCGTCCGATGTTCGACAGGAATCTCGACGTGCCGGAGGCCGTGGGTCGCGAGCGCCTCGGACTCCCGGTTGAGAGCCTCCACGCCCACTAGGTCTGTCCAGGCCCCGGGGTCGACCAAGCCCTGGGTCGACGACGCCGCCAGGTAGATCGAGCCCGAGGTGATCTCCTCCTCGACCTCGCGCCAAGCCGGCGCAGCCCATAGGTCGTTGCCGCTGAACGCCACCCCGTCGAACATGTAGGCCGAGGCCTTCCGGGCAGGGAGCTTCTTCGCCGAGGCCTCCCGCTTGGCAGCGTCCTTCTTGACACCGCCGACGTTGGGGCACTCGCGTCCCCAGTGACCCTTCTCCTGGCACAGCTTGCACTTGGTAACCTTCATCAGCTGCTCCTGGGTGAGGAAGCGTCGCCTGCCCGGAGGAGGTCTACGTCCGACTCCGCCGGCTCCACCTCCCCGCTCGTTACGTTCTCGTCGATGTCGGCCCCCACCTCGTCCGTCTGGCCGGGGAGGAGGAGGAGCTCCGCCGCTGCCTCGGCCTCGGGAGCCGAAGTACTCTCGGTCGCGGCGAGCTGCCCGCTTGAGGTCTTTGTTCTGCTTCCAGGACCTGTTGTTTGTCAGCTCTGCCAGCACGAGCTCGGCGTCGTCCTCCTCGATGTCCATGTCGTCGATCTCGGCGAGGAGGGCAGCCACGTCCTCCTCCTCGAGCTCGTCTGACTCGTCGGCTGCCTCGTCGTAGTAGTCCTCTTCGTCTTCGACGACCTGGTAGTTGGCATCCTCCGACCTACCTTCAGACCGACCGAGGTTAGGAGGGGAGGAGGAAGACTGGAAAACACCGGATTCAGAGCGAGCACCTGGCCCTAGGTCCTCAGGACGCTGCCGCCAGCATGCTGCCTGCCCCGGCTTTGCCGGGAAGCAGGCGCTCAGTGCCGGCGGACGAGTCGAGCTGGCGCAGCGCCCATTTCACGTTGCTGTAGGTCAGATTTGCTCGAGTGAGCTTGCGCAAGTTCTGCACGCCCTGCTGGGTGAGGTTGGCGCCCTCCTCCAGGAAGAGCCCCTTGAGCTTGTCGGACATCCACAGGTCGTGGCCCTCCGCGTCGATGAACTCCGCCTCTCGGCGGCTGACATATTGTGTGAGCGTCTCCTTGGAGTCGCGCGCGGCCTCATACAGCGCCTTTCGTCCTGCCCGTCGGAGTTCGTCTCCCTCGCGTTCCCCGATCATCAGGTCCATGCGACCGAGGAGCGTCTGCAGCCACGACGGTGCTGTAAGCTCCTTGTCCGGGATGTCCTCGAACTTGGCCTGCATCGTCCAGTCGAAGAGTCGCATGAACTTCTCCGACCGCCTCCAGACAGTCACGTCGGTGTTGTCGTTCCAGCGCCGGATGGCCCGGCGCCACTGCCTATAGTGGGCCCAGCCCGGCCACGCCGGAGGGTCGGTGAAGTCTCCTCGACCTCCGGTCCACTGGCCAGGCCACCAGCTGCTGCTCCAGCCGGAGCCCCAGTCCTGGTGCTCGTCCCACTTCTGGTCGTCCTTGGAGTCGTCCTTGTCGCCGGGTGAGCGCCATCGTCCTGATTCTCCTGCTGCGTCACCGTTGCTCACCTCGGCTGCTCGTCCGTGTCCGCTGCTGCTCCATGGGTCGGCGCCAGTGCCGTCCCACGGGTCGGCCGCCGTCGAGGACACCTCCTGCGGGGCCGCTGCTGCTGCTGCTGGCCAAAATGGCCGAGCGCCCGCACCGTCTCCTGGACGGCGGACTGGATTGCCCGTGTGAGCGTGTCCTGGTCGATCACCGCCGCCGTTGCCGTAGAGCCTGACGCCGCCGCCCCTGGAGTCGACCCCTCGGCTCCTCGGGCCGTCATGACGGCGAAGGCCTCATCTCGTCCGTCGCCTCGTGGAGCGACTGGCGGCGGTTGCTGCTGCTGCTCACCATCCGCGGGCATCTCTCTGCCGTGGATCCCACGCCGCTCAGTGGTCAGAGCGAAGCCTGGCTCCGGGGCGCGCGAGCGCGAAGCGGCCTGACCGTCACGGCCAGCCTCTCGCGCCCATGGCCGCCGGGCCGGACCCCGCTCCGCTACCAACTGTGGCAGCAGGAGAGGGGACATAATGTTTTACCTTGAGCCACATGTGGCACGGACGCACAAGATGGATCTCTAACCATCAGTCCCCAGGGTGAAACACCAAAAGCTAAACCTATACGTGAGACTATGGACCCCTGGAACAATCATCAGCATCATCATCATCATCATCAGCATCATCATCCTCATCCTCATCATCATCAGCATCATCATCAGCATCATCATCATCCGCATCATCATCCTCATCATCATCATCAGCATCATCAGCATTATCATCATTATCATAACATCCTCATCATCCTCATCATCATCATCCTCATCATCATCAGCATCATCTTCATCATTATCATCTTCATCATCATCATCAGCATCATCATCATCAGCCTCAGCATCGTCTTCATCATTTTCATCATCATCAGCATCATCATCATCAGCATCATCATCAGCATCATCATCATCATCTTCATCATTATCCTCATCATCATCAGCATCATCATCATTATCCTCATCCTCATCATCATCCTCATCATCATCATCAGCAGCATCATCATCATCAGCATCAGCATCATCTTCATTATTATCATCATCAGCATCATCATCATCAGCATCATCCTCATCATCTTCATTATTATCATCATCATCCTCATCATCATCAGCATCATCATCATCAGCATCATCATCATCCTCATCATCATCCCCATCATCATCAGCATCATCATCATCAGCATCATCAGCATCTTCATCATTATCATCATCACCATCATCATCAGCATGATCAGCATCATCAGCATCCTCATCCTCATCCTCAGCATCATCATCATCAGCATCATCATCAGCATAATCAGCATCATCAGCATAATCAGCATGATCTTCATCATCATCATCATTATCATCAGTGTCATCATCATCAGCATCATCAGCATCATCATCATCATCATCATCCTCATCATCATCATCAGCATCATCATCCTCATCATCATCAACATCCTCATCATCATCCTCATCATCATCATCATCCTCACCATCATCAGCATCATCATCATCAGCATCAGCATCATCTTCATTATCATCATCATCAGCATCATCATCAGCATCATTATCATCAGCATCATCATCATCCTCATCATCATCCTCATCATCATCATCAGCATCATCAGCATCCTCATCATCATCAGCATCATCATCTTCATCATTATCATCATCAGCATCATCATCATCAGCATCAGCATCAACTTCATCATTATCATCATCATCCTCATCATCATTATCCTCATCATCATCCTCATCATCATCAGCATCATCAGCATCATCATCATCATTATCTTCATCTTCAGCATCATCATCATCAGCATCATCATCATCTTCATCATTATCATCACCATCCGCATCATAATCATCATCAGCATCATCATCATCAGCATCAGCATCATCTTCATCATTATCATCATCAGCATCATCATCATAATCATCCTCATCATCATCCTCATCATCATCCTCATCATCATCATCATCCTCATCATCATCATCAGCATCATCTTCCTCATTATCATCATCATCAGCATCAACATCATCATCAGCATCAGCATCAACTTCATCATTATCATCATCATCATCCTCATCATCATCATCCTCATCATCATCCTCATCATCAACATCAGCATCATCAGCAGCATCATCATTATCATCATCTTCAGCATCATCATCAGCATCATCATCATCAGCATCAGCATAATCTTCATCATTATCATCATCCGCATCATCATCATCATCATCAGCATCATCATCATCAGCATCATCATCATCCTCATCATCATCAGCATCATCATCAGCATCAGCATTATCATCATCATCATCATCTTCGTCATCATCAGCATCAGTATCCTCATCATCATCAGCATCATCATCACCATCATCATCATCAGCATCCTCATCAGCATCAGCATCAGCATCATCCTCATCATTATCATCATCATCATCATTAATATTATCATCATCCTCATCATCATCCTCATCATCATCCTCATCATCCTCATCATCATCAGCATCCTCATCATTCTCATCATCATCATCCTCATCATCATCCTCGTCATCATCATCATCATCATCATCACCACCATCATCATCATCATCACCAGCATCAGCATCATCTTCATCATTCTCATCATCCTCATCATCATCATCATCATCATCATCATCATCATCATCATCTCACTCCTGCTCCTCCTCCCAGTCTTCCTCTCCCCCCTTCCCCCCCCACCCTCCTCTTGCACCCCTATCTGTCCGCCCAGAGCAGCTGGTGTCTGGACGTGTGGAGGACTTTTGACTCGGGGGGGGGGTCGGCGTTCCCTGATCGTCCTCCTCCTCGGGCCCCACCAGCGGGAAGTCTCAGCCAGAATCGGGGAGAAATGGTTTCGCTCCGTGTCTCCAACGCAGCCACATGGAATGTTTTGGGGTCGATCCTTGTCCTCTTCGTCGTCAACGTCGTCTTCGCCAGCCACTGTCTTCCCGCGTCGTCATTCTGGCCCCAGCTCTGCCGCTGGCGGCGGAGCCCGGGTGTGCGCGTGCGCTGGCCCGGGGCCGCGCAGCCCTGCGGGGCCCGCGAGGTCGCCATGAGGGACGGCGCCGATGGGTCCTGGACGCAGGACCCGGAGAGCGGCGAGTTCCTCTGGACGCCAGGTGGCGGGGCTTGGGGGTGGGCCTCCAGAGGGCTCCCGAGAGCCCGCGGCAGGCCCTCCGCAGTTCCCCAGGGGGGGGGCGCCCGGCGGCCGCCCGCAGAGCCTCCGCAGGGAGCTCCCGGAGAGCCGCTGGGGCAGCTGGGGCGCTCGAGCGCCGGCGGAAGCCTCCCGGGCGAGGGAGGAGGGCGAGGATGGACAGGAGGAGGCGGACGGGCATCGGGTATAGCCAGGACCCGGGGTGAGGGGACCCGGTTAGTGGTAGGGCCCCGGGGCCCCTCAATTGGCCAGATTCACTAAACCAGGTTTGCCGTAGGTGGTGTTTCTCGGGTGACGGCAGTTCCGGTTAGTGGAGATGGGACGGGGGGGCGCCCCCGGTACAAATCACTAAACCAGGTTCCAATAAACCCAGTTCTGCCAACGCCCGAGGGCAGCACAGGATTGTCACTACGTTCTATCGATATATTACTTCGATGCCAGGCACTGGTTTTCGGATGCAGCCAAAATAGTCATTGCGTTATTTTTTGACAATAAGTCAATCCAAAGAAGAGTGAGGGGGCCGAACGGTCATTCACCTTCCCTGGGGGCGTGGCTGAGGTGGGCTTCCGCGGTGTGGAGTGACTTCTCATTTCTCGAGAAAATTTATTGTGGATTCCCCCCCCACCGGTGCATATTGTTTTCCTCGATCCAATTGTGCCCCTCGACGCTCGCACCCTGTTTTTTGACAGGGGAAGTCTTGTTGCTCAAACAATGCCCCTGGCCCCCGGGTTACAACAACAACGGCTCCCGCCTGAGACTTCCTCACAATTTAGCCAGGACCCCCGCTCCCGCCCAAGACTCCTCGCATTTTATTCAGGAATCGAGCTCTCGCTTGTGACTTCCTTACAATTTATTCAGGAATCGCTCTCCCGGCGCTCTGGAGTCGCTCTCGTTGGAGACTTGTGTTGGAATTTCTGGCAATTTACTCAAGCGCCGCGCTCCCGACACGCAGGCACCAACGAGTCGCGCTCACGCTTAGGACTCCCTCACAGATTACCTAGGAATCGGGATCTCGCTGCCCTTCGTGGCCCCGTTGCAGCCCTTCGTGGCCCCCTCGCTTTGTTTCGTCTCCCCGTTGCAGCCCCTCGTGTCCTCCTCGCTGCCCTTCGTGGCTCCGTTGCAGCCCTTCGTGGCCCCCCTCGCTTTGTTTCGTTGCCCCGTTGCAGCCCTGCGTGGCCCCCTCGCTGCCCTTCGTGGCCCCGTTGCAGCTCTTCGTGGCCCCCTCGCTGCCCTTCGTGGCCCCATATATGTATGCCCTTCGTGGCCCCCGCTCGTTCGCGCCCGTGGTGGCCCCATATGCATGCCCTTCGTGGCCCCGCTGTCGCCTTTCGTGGCCCCCTCGCTGCCCTTCGTGGCCCCGTTGCTGCCCTCAGTGGCCCCGTCCTTGCCCTCCGCTGCCCAACATACGTATGCCCTTCGTGGCCCCCGCTCGTTCGCGCTCGTTGTGGCCCCGTGTGCGTGCCCTTCGTGGCCCCGCTATCGCCGTTTGTGGCCCCCTCACTGTGCTACGTGGCCCCGTTGCTACCGTTAGTGGCCCCATCGTTGCCTTCTGTGGCCCCGCATTATCTGCCCTTCGTGGCCCCCGCTCGTTCACGCTCTTCGTGGCCCCATACGCATTCCCTTTGTGTCCCTGCTGTCGCCCTTCGTGGCCTACTTCGTGTCCTTCGTGGCCCTGCTGTCGTTCTCTCTCGCTTTCGCTTTTCGTCGTCGTCGTCGCCGTCGTCGTCGTCGTCGTCGCCGTCGTCGTCGACGTCGTCGTCGTCGTGGTCGGTCCCCTGTCCGTCCCTCTTGGGGTCGGGTCGACGGTCCGCGGCCGCCCGCCGATCAGCGCTGCCGCTGGTCAGGCCGACGGTCCGCGGCGGCCCCGCCGCTTGCCAGGGCCCCGCCTGCAGGGAAGAAAGGTATACCCCCCAAAAGGGGCTCGATCGAAGACGAAGAGGGCGGGTATCGAGGGTTTGGGAAATACGCATTATTGGACACTCGAGCAGATAAGGGCGAACAGTCTTAAAACGATTGTTGTTGTTGTTGCTATTGTTGTTGAACATTATTTATTCTAAAGAATAATTATTGTTGGGACCCCTGGTGCGCGGCCCCCTCGCCGCGCCTAGGCCGCAGCCACATTTTCATCATTTTCGTGAGGAAGTCTCAGGCGAAACGTGGGTGTCCGGATCCGGTTGTTTTGTTGTCCCCCGTTTTCCCTTGCAACAAATAAGATAAAGTGGACATTTCTTGTTCTAACATAACCAAACTTCAAGAATCCCTTGCAAAAAATAAGGTAAAGTGGACATTCGCGCGCGCAAGACGAAATCCTTCCAATACCTTAGTTTTCGTAACGATTTTAACATAAAAACATAAAAAACAATGGTTTTTCAAAAAAAAGTTGTCAAAACTTCATCCCGCGCGCTCTTGCGGATTCGTAGGAAACTCAACAGCTTTTAAACATTTCTGTCAAACGGGCTTTTGCGAGCAACTTTTTCGAACTTCTGCAGCAACGGTTGCGCACCTGCCAGGGCCATCATCCCTGTCAAATAATACCATGCGGGACACATTCGTTTTTTCTTCGCGCGCGCACGCCGTCGTCGTCGGCCGCGGGGCCCTGAATAGTAGCCACGGTCGTCCGCATGCCACGAAGTGAAGTGTCCGAACGTCATAGGGCGGGAAGCTGGGTGTGGGTGGTGGCGAAGAGTCGTTTGGAAATTTGGTAGAGCTTGAACCGGCCCCCCCACAAAGTGGGGGTATTGCCCGCCTCCTATGAAAACCCTGGCACTGGTGAGAACGGAGTGTCCCCACGTGCTAGTAATTGTTGTTGTTGTTGTTGTTGTTGTTGTTGTTGTTGTTGTTGTCTTTGTTGTTATTGCTGCTGTTGCTGCTGCAGTTGTTGTTGTTGTTGTTGTTGTTGGTGGTGTGGTTGTTGTTGTTGTTGTTGTTGTTGTTGTTGTTGAACTCTCATTTCGGAATAATTATTGCTGATCCCCCCCGTCCGGTGCACATTGCTTTTTTGATTGAAGTGCCCTTCCGGGGGCTCGCACTTTGTTTTTTATCAGGGAAAGTCTTGAGGGTCAAACTGTGTCGTTGGCCCGCCGTGGACAACAACAACGGCTTCCGCCGGAGTCTTCCTTACAAATTGTTGAAGAATCGCCCTCTCGCTTTGGACTTCCTTGCAATTTACCGTATCGCGGCTCCCGCTTGATATTTCTTCAAAATTTATTGAAGAATCGCGGTCTCGCTTGAGACGTCCTCGCAACTTGCCACCGAATCGCGGCTCCCGCATGGCATTTCTTCACAATTTATTCAGATGCCGCTCCTCGACAGTCAGGAATCGCGCTCCCGCTACATATTGCCTGGCGGTCCAAGCAGGACTCACGCTTCAACGACCCGCCCGCTCGACCCGCCCGTCTGGGCCTGCCCGCCCGACCAGCCCGTTAGGGACTGCAGTCGCCGCTCGCTGCCCTTCGCCCGCCTTCGATGCCCCTCGCTGCCCGTACTGGTTCCGCGGTCGCCTTCGCTCGAATCCCTTCGTGGCCCCGTTGCTGCTCTCAGTGGCCCCGTCGCTGCCCATTGTGGCCCCGCATCATATGCCCGTCGTGGCCCGCTCGCAGTCGCCCGTCGTAGCCCCATTCGCATGCCCTTCGTAGCCCCGCTGTCGCCCTTCGTGACCCTCGCGCTGCCCTTCGTGGCCCTTTTGCTGCCCTCAATGGCCCCGCTGTCGCCCTCTGTGGCCCCATATACGAATGCCCTTCGTGGCTCCCGCTCGTTCGCGCCCGTTGTGGCCCCATATGCATGCCCTTCGTGGCCCCGCTTTCGCCCTTCGTGGCCCCCTCCCTGCCCTTCGTGGCTCCGTTTCTGCCCTCAGCGGCCCTGTCGCTGCCCTCTGTGGCCCCGGATTAATTGCCCATCGTGGCCCCCGCTCGCTCACGCCCATCGTGGTCCCATACGCATTCGTTTCGTCGCCCCGCTGTCGCCATTCGTGGCCCTCTCGTTGCTCTTCGTGGCCCAGTTTCTGCGCTCAGTGGCCCCGCTGTCACCATTTCTGGCCCCATATATGTATGCCCTTCGTGGCCCCCGCTCGTTCGCGCCCGTCGTGGCCCCATATGTATGCCCTTCGTGACCCCGCTGTCGCTCTTCGTGGCCCCCTTTCTGCCCTTCGTGGCCCCGTTTCTGCCCTCAGCGGCTCCGTCGCTGCCCTCAGCGGCCCCCTATACGTCTGCCCTTCGGGGCCCCCGCTCGTTCGCGCCCGTCGTGGCCCGCGCCAACAACGGCTCCCGCCGGATACTTCCTTACAATTTGTCGAAGAATCGCGCTCCCGCTTTGGACTTCCTTGCAATTTACCACCGAATCGCGGCTCCCGCATCATACTTCCTCACAGTTTATTGGAGAATCGCGCTCTCGCTTTGGACTTCCTCGCAACCATACGGATGCCCTTCGTGGCCCCGCTGTCGCCCTTCGTGGCCCTCTAGCTGCCCTTCGTGGCCCCTTTGCTGGCCTCAGTGGCCCCGCTGTCGCCCTTTGTGACCCCCTATACGAATGGTTCCGCGAAGTTTGTTTCTGACTCCAGTTCGCAGCTGTACGTCCCCCGTGGGGGTATCCACGAGATGTTCTTTCAAGGGGGTGGTACGTGGCGCTGTTTATGGCGCGACCCATGGCGAAACTTATTGTTCACCTGTGTTGGAGTGGCTGGCGCAAGCCATGGCGCAAGCTGAATCGCGCCACTCACAGCGCAAATCATCGTCCTCCCTCCTTCTTGCCCCTCCCCTCCCTTCCTCCGATCCCTTCGTCCTCATTTTCCCCCGTTATCTGTTACCCTTCGTTTTCAAGGGTTTTACCAACCACGCGTGGCACGGAATGAATATACCCCCCCAAAGGGGGTACGATGGAATATGAAAAGGGCGGGTATCCAGGGTGGGGGTACGCATACTGAATGACACGCGAAGAAATACGAGCGAACAATCATAAAGTGATTGTTGT